CATACACATAATACAGTACAATTAAATCAATCCAACTTTATGCAACATTTGATTATAACTAAGCCTCAATATGTTTTTTTTCTCATCTTCAGAAGAATCCTTGTCTGAACGGGGGAATGTGCTACTCCATGTGGGATGACTTTACCTGCACCTGCCCACCCAGCACAGCAGGGCGGCGCTGTGAGGAGGTCAGGTGGTGCGAACTGTCCCCTTGCCCCATGGATTCAGAGTGCAGGATGCTGAACCAGGGCTATGAATGTGGGTGGAGTCCGAATGAGTCATCATGATGTCAGAGTGTTTTAAATCAAGCCTCAAGTGATTACATCACAAAATAATATAATCAAAACAAAGGAATAAAATGTGACATACAATTAGTTAAGTCAGATAAAAATAGGCTTTAACTTTAAGAACATTGTGACGAAATGAGATATTATAATTATAATAGGAGAAAATGATATCATCACAAATTTGGACATTTTGTCACTTGTGCCACTTTTTGTTAAATACGACTATTCATAAGATCAGATTTCATGGAGTCAAACAGTGATTTCATTTTCCATATTTTTAGAAATTCATTTTTCTTTTTGTGGAAGTTTCTTCATGACATCATTTCATAGTTACATAAACCCCCTTAAAGCAGACTTAGTTACCTCTCAGATCGTGTTACCCAATCTTTGACCTTGTTTGTGGATCGTGTTGTTGTAGAATTGGCGACTGTGTAACACACACTTGATTATATAGCGGTAAAGTGGACGTGCCCCATAAAGCAGGATTGGCCTGAGGCCAGCTTATCCTTTTTTTTTGTTGGGATTAGTGATGATTTACTGTGTCACCCGTCTGTCCGGTAAGCTTCCCATGATCAGTGATTAACTCATCCAGGAGCCAATAACCTGCTTCCTACAGGTATTTCAAATGACCTCATGTTGTTGCCTAAAAGGATTTTAGTGTTATCAAACAAGGTGTCCAACTGAAAAGGATAGTTCACTGAAAAAATGAAAATTCACTCATTATCTCCTCACCACTCTGCCAATGGAGGGGGGAAGTGTTAGAGTCCACAAAACACTTTGGGAGTTTTAGGGGTAAATTACATTGCAGCCAAATCCAATACAGTTGAAGTAAATGGTGACCACTTCTTCAAACGTACGATTCTGACGATGGTGCAACAAAGTAAGTGTGTGAATGTGTAAACAAATATGCATGACAAATATTAATGTCATCTGCTGATCTCTCAGGTTATTCCAATGCAACCTTCCTGAATGACAGCACCGTGCTGTCCTTCAGGGGAAACGGACAGATTTCCCGCAACCTGACCAACCTCTCCCTGAACCTACGCACACGGAGGCGTAACACGGCCATCCTGCACGCAGAGAAGGGCTCTGCATTCATCACGGTCTCTGTCCAGGACGGTTTCCTCTTCATGGAGCTTCAGAGTGCCACCACTGTGGGCGACAGTGAGGAAGAGGCCATCTCTACAGTCAGCCTCAGCAGCCAGACGAGCGTCAGTGATGGAGAGTGGCACAGTGTCCAAGTGTTCATGTCGGCACCGTGGGCTCACGTCTCCCGGTGGACTCTAGTGCTGGATGAAGAAATAGAGGCAGCCAGCACTTCCAGGAGCCGAGCAGGCAACATAGACTTCCTGAAGCAGGGGGTGGACATCTTCCTGGGGGGCCTGTCTCCTGATTCCGGCTGGTCCCTGGCTGGATGTTTGGGCACAGTGGAGCTGGGTGGCATAGCCCTGTCTTACTTCAGCTCCTCTGACGTGAACTTCCCACGGCTGCAGGAGGAGCAGTTCATCCAGACATCTTTGCACCCACCGCTCCTGGGCTGCGGTGGGGCCCCCGTGTGCCGGCCCAACCCCTGCCTGAACGGAGGGGAGTGCCAGGACCACTTCAACACCTACAACTGCAGCTGTGCCGAGGGCTGGGCCGGGAGACGCTGCGACTTCTTCACCAACACCTGTGCTTCCGGTCCCTGCGTCCACGGCAACTGCAGTGTGAACGGGCCGGCCTACGAGTGCACCTGTGAGTTTGGCTACGCGGGAGTGGACTGTGACGAGGAGGTGGACATATGTGAAGACCACCTGTGTGCACACGGGGGCACCTGTCTGCACGGGCCGGACAGATACGCCTGCCTCTGCCCTGAGAACTACACCGGACCCCTTTGCAAGTAAGTTCCAGTACTTTCTGGATACAGTGAAAAAGATATCTTGAATAGAATGAAAGTAGCAAATAGTCTGGATTTGATATAGTCACACATGTTTATGCAGTGCACCTATTTGCAGCACTATCACACACTGCTGGCACAGTCATCAACCTTCTTGTTAGTGGACGACCCGTTCTACTTCCTGAGCCGCCATATTTACACAGCATAGAATAGTCTCTTTGTGTTGAGTGCAAAAGGCTTAAAACAGAAGAGGAAACAATAATATGAGCATTTCATGCTTTGAAGACGACTTTGCTCTTCAGTGAACAGTTTTAAGATTTTAGTTAGTTAGAAAACACACGAAATACACAAATAAATGCTCAGGGATAGCGACTGCACGACAACACAAACAAGAAGCCCTCACTGTAAATGTCTCCACACGTCTGCCTCTGTTCAGCGTTTCCACCCCGCCTGCAGCGAGTGTCTCAGAAGCCGTGTTTCTATTCTAGTGTCAGCCAGAAAAGGCCTCAGTCTGCTGCGTGTCTCACTACACGCGGCTCTCTGGTTCAGCGACAGTTTTCTTCTCCCCCTGTCATCTACCGTTTGCCTCGGAGAACCAGCAGGGGAACGCCTCCAACCATTTATCCCGTAAACACACAGAGCCTCCTGCATTTTGCATCTCCTGCACAATGAGAAGCTTTGCAAGTGTCTCGCTCAAGCGAGCCACCAGACAAGCTGCACGTCTCCCTTTGCTGGGAACATCTACGCTGCAAAGTTTTCATCAAAAAATGTTTGTCTCTCCTGTTTGTGTCTCTCTCTACCTCCATCTTGCCGTCTTTCTTCCTGCTTCCCTCCAGTGAACGCATTGAAGAGATTCCGTGGTACATTGTTGTCAGAAATGTGTAAGTTCTTCTACTTTTTCTTCTGTTTCTCAGGTGTTTGCGATTTGTCTCCTGTTAGATATTTGTTTTGTTTTTTTTGGTTCGACAATGTGGAACAAAATACCGAGCAAAGCTAATATTAACGCTGTGTTTCACATGACTGACAGCTGTAGTTCAAAACCATCACTGGCATCTGAATGAAAACTTCACCTACCGAAATTGTTCACTTTCAAAAAATGAAAATCCGTGTTTTGTCACCGATTCAGGGATGAATTTCAAGTTTCCTCCAGATGCACGACATTTGAAAACAGAGCTGCTGCTTTGGGCAGATACGAGATAAAGGAGGCAAGAGAGAAATAATAGATGTTATATGTGATTTGACGTCGTGCAAGAGGTTTAATCTTATTATCCTGGTCACAACCTAAACCTCTTTGTCTCCCCTGTGGAGAACAGCAGGGAGACTCTTCTGCTTCCGTAAAAAGACGTCCAACTTTGCTGCACACGATCCAAAAATAGCTCTGACTGTGTGGCCTCAGATGAAACACAATGTTTTCATCCTCTTACACGTCTGACTGTCCTTCACCAGACGACCCAAGCTGCCCGTGTCCGTGTGCGGCGATGACACCAGGAACTACACCTGCTTCAACGGAGGCAACTGCACCAACCGAGAGCTGTCATGTGACTGTCCGCCAGGCTTCGGTGGACACCGGTAGGAATAGAAAACACACGGTTATTATTATGATGACACTCAAGAGACCACTGACCCAACAGCCTCCTCGTGAATCAGCATCTAAATTCACTGGATCCTGATTTTGATTTGGATCCTCACGTGTTTGATTTCTATTCATCAAGATCCATGAATTATTCTCTGAGTAAAATGTTAAAGACCACTGATTTGGATCCACACCAAATTTATTTCCTGACCAATATCGCATCCGTTCACTTACTTGTACTTGTTAGTTTAATCCGTGTCCCATCCACTAACATGGAGGAGGCTGGGTTTATGACCTATACTGCAGCTGGCCAACAGGTGGTGATCAAGATGAATTGCTTGACTTTTGAGGAAGTTGTTGTGTTGTCCACCTTTGTACACACTGATACACCTGCCTGCTGCTGCAGCTCCTTCCACCACCACAACCTCCACCTCCTGTGCTACACGCTCAATATCGGTGATTCAACGATGGCAGGATCGAATTTGAAAGCTCCCTCCAAAAACAAATCTCGTGTCTCAGAGCTACCTGTGTGTTTGTGTGTGTTTGTGTGTCTGCAGGTGTGAGCAGGAGGTGGACGAGTGCCAGTCCAACCCCTGTCTGAACGGAGGCTACTGCCGCAACCTCATCAACAAGTTCGTCTGCATGTGCGACATGAGCTACGCGGGAGACACGTGCCAGATGGACGTAAGCGACATTTACTTTTACGTGGCGTTGCTGCTGTGGCAGAACCTCTTCCAGCTGCTTTCCTACCTCATCCTCAGGCTGGACGACGAGCCGGAGGTGGACTGGGGAGGAAACGACTGAGTGTGTGTGTGTGTGTTTAAACAGTATGGATGCAGGGGGGGGGGGGTTTGAAGCTTTGTCAGGTGATTAATGGTCAGTGGTCTTCTGTTCAAAGCAGACTCCAGATCAGGCGTTTATGACCAACACACAGGATATTTTTTTAATTATCAAGTTTTCTCTAAATTTGACAGTTTGCAGTACAAACGACCACAGAGCTGTTTCTGTGCCTTAAAATGATTCGCTGGTCATCAGAAGCACTTTATTCAATATAGCTGTGTATAACTCGATTTCATTTACTTATTTAAGTGGCTGTAGAGAACAAGTCTCCTCACAAAACACTTGAAAGATTAATTTGTTATTTAACTCGAACGCTACCAATTTTGTTTTTGCAAAAAACTAGCGATCGAGGTCTAAAGGGAAAGAATAGTCCATATTCAATAAAGCACTTTTTGGTGAAGTCAGGTACATCGTAAAATCTGTGTTATTTGTGATGTTTCTCTTTGAGGATGTCCTGCCAGTCTTGTCTGAACTGCATTGTGGGAGCTGCGTGCAAATGTATGTGTGAACTATCAAAAACAGTCACCAAAAGCAGCTGCAGGGGCTGGAAGACGACGGCAGGACGTCTCTTTGTGCTTGATGTGCGTTCAGAGCACTGCGGTGTTTTGACTGACTGACTGAGCGACTGACTGCTGCGCGTTGTTTTGTACCAAATGGAGAAGTTTCCGTCTCTGAACCTTCCTGTGTGAGGTGTCGTATTTTGAGCCTGAATTCTCTGCGGCTCTGCTTGAACGGTACCTGTGAACACTGCTGTGGTCAGTGTTCGATGACGCTCAGGATCACTGCACTCGTCTGCTCCTCATTGATTGTGTTTGTCTCTCTGTGTTGTGTCTGTGACATTGTCTCAGTGATCCACGTTTGATTCATGTGACGTCTGTCTTTGTCTTCTCTTCATCATATTCTGTCCTCGTGTTCCTGTCTCTGTCAAATAAAACTAAATCTGTCTCATCAGCCTTGATTTGTTGTTTGTCCTCTTTTCGTCTCTTTCACCTCATTTTCCTTAACATGTTTCGTTTTCCATTTTCACATTGGTTTTTTCTTGAAGGTCCTCTCATTGATCCTTTCATTGATAACCTTCCGCCGCCAAACATAGACACTTAATCTGTCTTAACAAGATGTAGTGAGAGTGTCTCTGAGAATAGCCTGAGTTCACAGACACACACTCACAGAGAGAGAGGGACGGCAACGTGCTGCAGCATTTAGACATATATATA